GGTCATCCGCTTGTGTGAATGGCTCAGTCAGTTTTAGAGTAGCAAGCTTGGATTAGCCCATTCGATTGTTAAGATGCACCGGCCAATCTTGATGGTGCCTCTTAACAGTCGAATAGGCCAATCTAAGCTTGCTACTCTAAAAGGTCTTCATCTTTCATTTCGAAAAATCATCTCTTCCTATCTCTCACACAGCATTACCCGAAAATATATAAGTTCGTAGACGAGCAAAAGTGGGCTGTACATATGCAAAAGATGATGCACTGATTTCAAGTCAAGTCAAGTCAAAAATCGCTTTATTCATGCTAATGGATGAATTCTCAGCTTCTTGACCTCCAGCAACATGTATCGTCGCATATAGTCACAAAAAAGTGAGAAAAAACATCGTCAATTCAAAGAACTGTGGAGTAAAAAGTTTGAAAGTGAATATCAATTGCGTAACAATTTTAAAAAGTCTTCTCCAACGGATGCCTTTTGTTAATGGGGATGTCATAACTCACTCTCAGACATGTCACTGAAAAAAGCTAGGCCAGTCATTTTGACACTGTCGAGCGTAGATTTGGGACATGTTTCATGCAAAGGGACTATTGTGTCAATTTCAATTTGTTTCGAACGGGAGGGGGGTTAAACTTGTGTTCGTGTTAGCAGACGGGAATGATTCGTTCTGTTGGTGTTGGTGAATTCTCTGAGCTGGAAGTGTAGTTCGCAGACGTTTCGTAGCCAAGCTAGACATCATTAGTGTGACTTCGAGGAAACGCCAATCCCCAATGGGACGGGGTGTATATAGTTCTGTTCGAGGATTGTGATTGGCTGTTCGCGTCCCTTTTATCCTTTTGGCCAATAGCAACCGTTTGCTGTGATTCGATTGGCTGTTCCGTTGTCATGGTAACCATCCTTTTTCTCATTGGTCGACTGGATTCGCTAGAGCAACCGCAAACCGGTTCCAAACTGGTTAGAACTGGTTTTGGACCGGTTCTAGTTGAGACATCTTCGGGTTACCGTCGTTTCCTTAGATAGTGATAGATAGGTTCAAGTTCTACGTGCCTATTTATTCTATCCGTTCTGGAGTACCATGCTTCGATGAATTCCCGTATTGACCTGGTGGGTCCTCTTCCGATTATTCTTGCTTTGTCCAGTTGGAAGACATGGTTCTCAGTATCCATGTGGATTGAGATTTGTGATTTCTCCTCGTGTTGTTTGACCGCCAGTGTGTGTTCGTGGAGTCGTGTCGTGAGCTTTCTGTTGGCTTGTCCCACGTAGTATTGGTCGCGGTGTTGGCACTTTAATTTGTATAAGACGTTTTGAAGAATCTTCCTTTGGTAGTTGATCCTTTGGTCTTGACAAGATGGCCCCCACTGTCACTGTTGTTTTGTGTGCAACCGAAATTCCTGATGGTTGTAACAATCTGGCTGCCATTTCNTGTTCGTGGAGTCGTGTCGTGAGCTTTCTGTTGGCTTGTCCCACGTAGTATTGGTCGCGGTGTTGGCACTTTAATTTGTATAAGACGTTTTGAAGAATCTTCCTTTGGTAGTTGATCCTTTGGTCTTGACAAGATGGCCCCCACTGTCACTGTTGTTTTGTGTGCAACCGAAATTCCTGATGGTTGTAACAATCTGGCTGCCATTTCCGAGATTCCTTGTATATGTGGCAGTGTTATTCGTTTAATCTTCGGTCGTTCTTCTGCCTGTGCGTTTGAGGCTTCTCCCGGGGCCTCAGTTGTTATCCTCTTCTTGAGCGTCCTATGGAAGAAGCGTAGCACGAAATTCCGCGGGTATCCGTTACGTTAAAACACCTAAAAAAGGTGGGCTTCCTCCGCCTTTTGAAGTTGGAGATTGCTGCAGTGCGTTTTTGCTCGTTTGAGAAGTGTTTGTATACAGCTCCTCTTGTGTACCACGGGGTGGTTACTTTGAAATCTGAGGATCTGATCCATGTGGGTTGGCTGACGAGTCCCAAAACAGGACGAAACAGCTATCCAGTGCTCTTTGTTAGTTATCACAAACATTTCCATCGCACAAAAATGCAAACAAACAGTGGTGAATTAACGATCTGCCAAGCAGTGAAACCCACAACCGTCATTATCAACAATGTCTGGTGCCTATGAAAAACCGAATGGGCTAATCCAAACATTCACCATTTAAATTGATTGAGCCATTCGCACAAGGTGACGACTGTCGACCGTGTAGATCAAGGGTAAGGGTTTGAAGTCCCAGCCCGTAGAATCGCGGTTCTAGTCCTAACAGGTACATAGAAGGTACGCACTGCTGACGAGTCCCAAAACAAGATGAAATAGCTGTCCAGTGCTCTTTGTTAGTTATCACAAACATTTCCATCGCATTTGAGTGCTAGTACTACTTTCCGTTGGTACAGCAACAGTGGCAATAAAGGTGGTTCAAGCGTTATATTGTACGCTCTTAGGTGTGTGTGTATGTGTGCACACATCCGTGAGACACTGCCTTAGTGAGGCCAACTTAAGGTGCGAAATGAGACTGTACTCTGCTATGAGTGATTGATTGACCACTTTCATTTATTCCATCTTTGACGTCAAACAAGAGCTATAGGTCGCATATTGGAGACTTTGTGGTGCGTTGCAAGATGATAACGGATGACCACGTATTCAATGGAAAGCTCATTTTCCTCATTCGCCTTTTTGATCCACCATTGGTCTACCTCGGCTCGGCTCTTTGTTCTTCACAGTAGACAAGTTATGTGCTTGAGCCTCATCGTTGCTGCTCCCTCCGCCACTTCTTTTGCTTCCTTGATAAGTTTCTGAAAAACTGCGGTCAGATTGCGCGAAGACTGAAGAGAATAATTTCTTTTTATCTTTTCAATCACTGACCTAAAATTAAGCAGATGTATGTTGTATGTTAGGCTGCTAAACCCTAGTGAACTGATGTGTACAGCTAGACAAGGCCTGCTAAAATTTTAAACAAAAGATCAATACCACGGCAATGAAATCCACAAGGTCAGCTACTTTTGGGTTCCTAAAGGGGGTTGTGTGAGAGACAGAAATTGGTTGCCAGTACTGTTTACCTTGATCCAAAACATCTTCCCGAGTACATATAATAAGTTTCCGTTGAGCATTTGTAAATGTGTGTGTTCAACCATTACTCATATGCAACGGGATCATTCTTCTCAACCCCGGTTCATGCTCCCACCTATTTCTATTTTCCGTTTGTATTAAATTATCAGTGCATTTGATGTCAGCGCGTACGTATCTTACTTATTTTGTCCACGCTGTTTGATGCAGTGTCGCACAACCCATGAGCCAGATGTGTAATAATGCATATTTTCGTCCCATTTTCTTCCATTTCATGCATGTGTGTGTGTGCGCGCGCTCGTGACCACAGCCGAACCAGGCTCAAACGCAGCAACAGCAGCAGCAGCAACAACAACAACAAGCACAACGTGTCAGTTCGTTTGGAACGATGCATGCCAATCACGGGCAACCGTACACGTTCCAGCCGCAGTTAAGATCCGGACAAGATCGTATGGCTGCCCTTGGTAATGGACAGGTGCCGCCTGGAATGATGGTCCAGTTAAACGATCCCATCCCACCGCTCGACACTCATCACCCGAATCAGCGCAACTCGCCACAGATGCCAATCCAAAGCGGCCAGTCCCAACAGTCCAATAATAGTGGTAATAATAGCCAAAACAACAACAGCAATTCCAACAACATAGTCTCACAGTCTGGCGGGCGCTTCATGCCAGCTGGAATGGGCTTTGCTCAGGTGAACTCCATGTCCAATACGGGACAGTTTACTTATCAGTCAGGTCCACAACTGACCACCAGCATGTCTTCTCAGGTGGGAAATCCGGCCGGTCCGGGCTACACCTCTTCTTCCTCGACGAACTCCGTTGCACAACAACAACAGCAACAGCAGCAATCATTTGCCTCACGAGGTCCATATGCCGGCGCGAGCGGCACCAACAATAATGCGACCGTGTCCATGGCATACAACAATGCAGCAGCAATGAATCAAGGCTATTCGACACGCGGCGGGCCGACCCAAGGTGGTGGCTATCGTGTGGTTATGCCGGATTCGTCTACACCGGTCAGTACAAATAGTGGTATCGGATTTATGTCCATGAGTGGTGGCGGTGTGGACTCAAAACACGGATCCATGGACGGAGCTCTGTTCCAACAGTCTATGTCAAACCGCATGCAGCCCCCTGTTGGAACATCACTATCCAACTGCTCAGTTGTTCAAATGGACACTGGAGCTTCTGGGAATCATTTCGGCGGCGACTTGTTAGGCTCATCTCAACCACAACAGCAGCAACAACAACACATGCTTCATCAGCCAGTGTATGGAGTGATTCGAACTATGCCCCAACAGGTACAGCAGCCATCGCAACAACAACAGCAACAACATCTTCAGCAGCAACATCCTGGTTATGATTTGTGTGATCCGGGAGCCACACCGGGCTTTTTCTAGGTGAATTTGCATTAATCAGATGTATCAAACTGATTGCACTGATCTATCTACAAGTAATCTTTATTATTTTCCCTCTGCTGACTGTGATTCTTAGTCCTCATACATACACATTCTTCTGTTTCCCGTCACATCTCTCTTTCGTTCGCCCGCACGCGTGCGTGCGTGCGTGCGCACACGTGTCTGTGTGTGTGTGCTTATAACTAAGCGTCAGGTCTTTTGTCTTGCCTGTGATTGGTCCATCACCAGTCCTACTCTGGGGCATCGGGTTTTTGATTTTCCGAACTGATTGTTTTCCCGTCCATATTCGACCACCAATCGCCATTATGGTTGCCCATACGGTTTTCTCTCTCTCTCTCTGTCTCTCCGTTCGTGTTCATTTAATCAGGAGACGCAACGCGTTGTACATAACTATTCGTACATGTGTATTATCCGAAACAGATCAAGCTTTTGTTCACTACTTCTCATACCTCCCTCGCAAAAAATCTCGTCTTATCCTCCCGCCCCCTCATTGCACTTACTCATTACGAATCCCTTTGTTGAATTCCGTTTTTACTGTTTCTGGTTACTGTTGTCACTTCTGTCCAGTTTGTTGGTCCAGTTCGCGCTCGATCATCATACCTTCTGTGAATTTTGCACAGAAAATCACGCCACAAGGACCGTTTGATGGTTTGGGTTTTTTTTCTCATCTCAGATTTTCATTGTGTACACAACTGGCACTCCTCTTTGACTTGCTCGCCCCTTGCACCCCTGATTCGGTTCCGCATTGAGTCGTGGCCGTGCAAATCTCTCACACAGTCTTTCCGTGTATTGCCACTTGCCCACATTGTTGTTTTCGACCTTCGCTCCATTCACTCTTTTTTCAACCCCTCATTCATTTGTTGATTTGTTACGCGTCCGTGTATTTCACCGTGTCATTACCCATGGTTCGTGGTGATAGGTTGTTTTTTTGTGGCGGACAACTTAATACACCTCCTCGAGACGCACTTTGTCATATATAATCATATATTTCCGCGGACTCGTCTCTAAACACATTGCCCGTCCATCTGCGTAAATAAGCTTACGCAAATGTCTACCATCCGCCCATCAATCCATCCATGCATTCATGCACATGGAATCATCTGGAGAAACTGGATCACGAGACCACTATCAGGTCTCCAACACACGCACACAGTAAATCCCGACGTTTGTTTCTCTCTTCCAACCACCTTTACGGGTTGTTTCCGAAAGTTGGTATTTCTATCTCTCCCTACCTCCCTCCGTGTGTGTGTGTGTGTGTGTGTGTGTGTGTGGGTGTGTGTGTGTGTGGGTGT